TGTTTACAGCGGAAAGCAAGGAAACGCTTTAAGCGCCACCTGCTGGCAGAGAGTGAATCTGCATCTCATTCAGCTCATCCGCTGTTTCATGCAGATATTTTTATGTATAGTTTTCAAACCATTCTGTTTTTGCTTCAGATTTTGAAATTATACAATCTAATTTAGATTAAAAACTGCTCATGTTGCATGTATGCAGCATCTTTGTTTGGATCATGATTAAAATGCCGTTTTTGCCTCTAATTTTAAAAGGAAAGAGCACAGACAAAGCCTTAGTTTGTTTATATGAAGAGATTTCTTTTATTTGTGTTACGTATTTATTTGATTTGGGGCTTGTTTTAAAATTTCAATTTAGTTTTGTTATTTACATTATATTTCAATTGTGTTATTTAGCAGACGCTTTTATCCAAAACGACTTACAAATGAGGACAATAGAAGCAATCAAAACCAACAAAAGTGCTATAAGTGCTATATTAGTATATTATTATAGTGTTATATTTCAATTTCACAAAGAAACGTGCAGCATTTTGTCCAAGCAATAATAAAAGGACACATTTAATTTATAATTAGTCTTAAATCTCATTTTGTTAAAAAAATTTGTGAATCGTGAGTTGAGTGAATCGTTACATCCCTAATGTTAACTGTTTTAGGATTGATCTGCTAGTTGTGAAAAAATGATTTTAATTGGTGCCAAAATGAATCATTATAGATTTTAGCAAAGCCACAGTGATTGTTAAGCCCATGAACTGATCTTAACACTTACATGTAAGACTTTTTTTTTTTCCAGTCGTATTTTGTTTGTAATCCCATTCCTGTCATTACAGGTAGACTCATTTCAGGAGTATGTGAAGCCAGTGGTGAACCCACAGCTCTCTGAGTTTTGTGTAAAACTTACCGGAATCACACAGGCAAGATTTATGAACTGCATATTGAATTAAATAACAATTTAAGATGTGTTCAATACCAGCCAAAAATTTGAAGATGTAATTTTTTTTTTTTTTTTTTTAAGATTTTTTGAAAAATTTATATATTTTTTTCAAATAAAAGCTATTCTTTTGAACTTTAAATGATTTCTAAAGGCTCATGTGACACTGAAGACTGAAGTAATGCCTGCTTAAAATTTAGCTTTGCCATCATAGGAAGACTTTACATTATAAAATGTATTTAAAAAAAAAATGTAATTCTTATAGTAATTCACATTTCAGCGCTTTTTAAAAAATACTGTTTATTTATTACTATTTTTGATCAAATAAATGCAACCTCAGTGAGCATAAAGAGCCTTCTAATAAAAAAAATAATTACAAAAATGACTGACCCCAAACCTTTGATAGTAGTTTTCGTAGTGCTTTTCATGTGCCATCTGTGTTTTTTGTCTAAAATTAAATGGAAAGCAATTGCTCAAGCTTTCATTTTTAATTCTCAATATTTTTTCTTTTTTCTAGAAAATGGTGGATGAGGCAGAAACTTTCCATCAGGTTCTAAAGCGAGCAGTTTCTTGGCTACAGGAAAAAGAACTTGGCACAAAGTACAAATATACATTTTTGACGGATGGGTAAGGATTAACCACACATTTTAAGCATGAATCTAATGAAATTCAATACAATGTACAGCTCACTATCTTGTCTGTGTAGGTCATGGGACATGGGAAAATTTCTTCATACCCAGTGTAAACTGAGTAGCATCAGATACCCACAGTTCGCCAGAAAATGGATCAATATCAGAAAGTCTTATAGAAACTTTTATAAGGTTTGTTTTTATGTTAATTTTTCTTATGATTCCTTATGAAAGTCACAGAAAGAAAATCTGAATGAAAAAATTGTGTTTGGATGTAAATAAAGGATCTTGGTGTCTAAATAGTACAAATGGCTTAGGATATCTGATATTTTATTACATTTGAACAAATACTGACGTTTTCGTGTGTCTCGTGCTTGTTTCTCACAGGTTCCTCGTACTCAAACGAAACTAATCTGCATGCTGGAGAATCTTGGTATGCAGTATGATGGACGTCCCCACTGTGGTCTAGATGACTCCCGCAACATTGCCAGAATTGCCATCCACATGCTGAAGGACGGCAGTCAGCTGCGGGTGAACGAGTGCTTGCATTCAGGAGAACCACGGAGCGTGCCTATCTCTGCCCCTATTGAAGGAGCCCCAGCACCTCAAACCCCCAAGAAAAGAGACTGAAAAGATCATTTAAAGACTCTTTCACAAAAATAACATTGCTTAATCTGTACAAATATGAGAACCTATCTCCATGTGAATGTAAGATAAAGGAGACTAACTAATGTGGGTTTTCTTAAAATTGTTCCAGAAATGTGTACAGTTTCTTTTCTGCAAAAGTTTACACCATAGCAGATCAGTGGGGTGAGGCTGTGCTTTCACTTTTACTAAAAATTGAGTTTATGTACTGTATTTTGAAACTTGCTCCTGATAAACTGAAACAGTAGTTTCAAGTAAAAGGCTTTTTTCAAGCCTAACTGATGGGCGATTAATACTTGCAATACTGCATTGCATTGCTTTTCTTAATTCATGTTGCACTTCCAATGAAAAACTCAATTTGTATTTTTCTGTCAATAAACATTTTTTTTTATGATGCCACTGTACAATATTATTTTAAGAGATATATAATTTTATATGCTATTCCTATTTGCTCAAGATCTGATTTTCAAGTGTACTAAATTTTTTTAGTTAAACTTATTGGGTTCTTTGCACTGTAATAGTCTATGCAAAGTTAAGATATGTTTTGGTTACGCAACAGGACTTGTCAACACAAAGTTCACTGTTTCTGGCCACCATATCTAATTTTCCAAGGCCATGCAATAATAGAGATAGTCAATCAAGTATGATATGTTAACACACAGTCATGATCATTCTAATGTACTGATGTTGTTGTAAAATGTTTTATTAGTGCATGTAATTATGCAATTTCTCTTACTTTTCAATGTTAATATTTCTGTTGATCTGATTAGATATTAATTTAGCAAAAGTATTGCGGCTGAGCATCATGTCCAGCAGATGGCGTCAAATAACACTTTTCTAAATAATCGTGAGCAACACAAAGCCCACCATCATCAATAAAGTCAACAAGGAGACAGGCGGACTAATTGGCATGAATTTGGTTTGTGTTTCACTTATGAATTTTGTATTTATTACCAGGTTGTTTGTACAAAGACTAAAGTCCCTTTCATATCGTAGGCAAACAGGATCCAGCTGTCTTCATGTGATGTTTTGGAAGAAAGCTATTATTTACATTGGGTGGCGCACGGTCTTATGATGTTACAGGATGTTACATACTGTTAGTAAAACCGAAACAATAGAAACGCAGTTACTTTCACATACCACCTTCACTGCACGCGACGCTACTAACAAACGCTATTATTATCAATACTGCTGTTAATACGCGACGCATGCTTCGTCACCACCTAACTGACCAATCAAGGCTTTTGTTTATGCGAGCGTTGCGTTGCTCGCGCGTAGAGAAGGTGGGGCTTTGACGCAGTGTTGTTCCTGTGAACGTTCACTGTTGGCTGCATGCGCAGAGAATAGGCGGAGACACACAAGGAGAGACTACAGCAGCCACCACTGCCCTTCTTTCATTCTAACTAACTGGATATGTCTTAGATATTTTCTCTCATGTGGTATCAAAGGACGCGCTGGCGGAATCGCCAGCCTCGCGCACTGGGCTGATGCGACTTTTGATGCGCGCGTGCGGTTTTTATCCTGCGGTCGATGGCGCAGATAAAGAGGATGCGTGAAAGAACACAGCCCAGCCCTATTTTTCTGAATGCAATTGAATGGAACTGCATATTTTCGGATGAAGATGAAATCGGCATGGTCTAAATGTTGGTTTCATCTGGATTGCTGTGCGGAGAACCCGAATCGATAAAGCAAGTGAAGGCGGCACTATGCTGCCTAAGTGATTGATCACTGTGCTCAATGAGAACAAGGAGAAGCACGGCTTCGATACGATGGCTGAGGAGAATAACCTGAAGACAGCTAGGTTATGGAGGGATGCTGCTTTGCGCTCCAGGAAGCTGAGGAGCAATCTGAGACAGCTGACTCTCAGCACCAAAAACTGCCAGAAAATTACATTACCCGAGGACATAAAGGAGATCGAGGTCCTCAATCTGGGCAACAACTCCCTTCAAGAGCTTCCAGAGGGACTGGGCTCAACCCTAACCAGGCTTCGCATCCTCATCCTTCGAAGGAACAAGTTTGCAACAGTTCCCACTGCAGTATTTCAACTTAGTCAGCTGGTTGAATTAGATATCAGTCACAACTGCTTGAACCACTTTTCAGAAGATATTGATCTTCTCAAGGGGCTTATAAAGTTGTGCATCAGTCATAACAAAATCCAATACCTGCCATCTCAGATTGGGACTTTGCAAAGTCTGGAGGAGCTTGACATCAGCTTCAACGAGCTGCATGATTTCCCCAGGTCCTTTTCACAGCTCAGGAAGCTCAGAACGCTCGATGTGGATCATAACAAGCTACAGCGTTTCCCTTCTGAAATACTTGCCCTCTCTGATCTGGAGGAGCTTGACTGCTCTGGGAATAAACTAGAAGGTCTTCCGGGTAACATCATGATGCTCCAATCTATTAAAATCTTGTGGCTCAGCAGCACTCACCTCTCGTTTTTGCCTGAAACATTTTGTGAGCTGCAGAACTTGGAGAGCCTGATGCTTGATGATAATTTCCTCACAAGCCTGCCGCAATCGTTTGGGAAACTGCAGAAACTGAAAATGCTCAATCTCTCCTCAAACTCCTTTGAACATTTTCCTCAGGTTATCATCAAACTCACCAGTTTGGAGGAGTTGTATTTAAGCCGGAATAAACTGACGTTCCTCCCTGAGGAGGTAGGACAGCTGTGCAATCTTGCTAATTTGTGGTTGGACAATAATAGTATAACGTTTCTCCCGGACTCTATTGTAGAGCTAGGGAAATTGGAGGAGCTGGTTTTACAGGGTAACCAAATCGCCATCCTCCCAGACAATTTTGGAAAACTTGCCAAAGTCAACATCTGGAAGGTGAAGGATAATCCTCTCATTCAGCCCCCATATGAAGTGTGCATGAAGGGGATCCCCTACATAGCTGCCTATCAGAAGGAGCTTGCACATTCCCAACCTGCTGTAAAACCCAGGCTTAAACTGGTTTTGATGGGCCAGAAAAATGCAGGGAAAACCACACTCAGGCAGTGCATTGTCAACAAACCGTCTGATGCCAAGATGGCCATTGGATGTAGGGGTATTGACGTGACGAACTGGGTAGCGGATGCAGATCGGAGTCTTACATTCATTGTATATGATTTATCTGGTAAGCAGAACTATGATCTTATCAAACCCTTTTTCCTGTCTCCCGGAGCACTTTATGTTTTGGTGGTGAATCTGAAATTGTATACATCAAAGAGCTTCTACTCCCATGTTGGTGGTTTCCTCCACCTGCTCAGTGCCAAGGTGCCACATGCAGTTGTTTGCATTGTAGGGACCCACTGTGACTTGTGTGAAGAGGTCGAGGTTGAAGAAAAGTGCCTGGATATTCACAGACAGATTTCGCTCCAGGAAAAAATGGACACTGAATGCCTACAAGTGCTTCCCCTGCAGGTTGACGAAGCCCTTGAGCAAGGTTACGGTGTTCGGACTTCTAGCCCCCATGTTCTCTTTTATGGGGTCATGGATAAAAACTTGAGACGTAAAAAGTCTCAGTTGCAATATATGCTCAACAATCGACTACAAATCCTCTCTCCGGTGATTTGCGTCAGCTGCATGATGGCTCATAGAAACATCCAGCATTTGAAAGAGAAGCTCATGTCTGTCGCCGATCACAGGGAGATTTTCCCCAATCTTCACAGAGTTCTGCCAAAGTCATGGCAGATGCTTGAGGAACTGCATTTTAAGCCACAGGATTTATGGCTTTCCTGGTGGGATTCGGCCCGGTTTGGCCTTCAGGCTGGGCTGACGGAGGACCGCCTGCAAAGCGCGCTCTCGTACCTACACGAGAGCGGTAAACTTTTGTACTTTGAAGACAGCATGACGTTGAAGGAATACGTCTTCCACAATCTACCCCGATTTATCGCCATCTTGAATGTGTTTTTTCAGAGAGACCTCGCTGCAATGCTTGAGAAACTACAGGCTGAAGGAGATGATGGAGATAGCATCAGGTCTACACAGATGCACGGTCACGTGGAGGGGTTTCTGTTGCATGGCTTGCTGCCGTCAAATGTGATTCGATTGTTGCTTAAGCCCCTGGTACAGACACAGCAGGACTTGCACCTGATCATGGAACTGCTGGAAAAGATGGGCGTGTGCTACTGTGTCAACAAACCTCGCAGCAAGCCGCTTAATGGAGCCACCGTCTGGTATAAGTTTCCCAGTCAGGTCAGCAACGAGGAGCCCCATCCTGAGGCCTCGGCCAGTGGGGGGTCGTCAATCCCTGGTCAGTTCTTCTCGGTTGAGCAGCTGCAGATTGAATACAGGTTTCCTTTCTTCACCCCTCTTGGACTTTTTGCACGGTATAGCGTGCAAATCAACAGCCACGTGGTGCAACGGTCCGATGGAAAGCATCATATCTTTGCCTATCGGGGTAAAGTGCCTGTGACGGTGAGTTACCGGCCCTCTCGGAACCGATTGCAGCCTGAGACCCTCTCCATTTCCAGCCATGCATCCTTGCCAAATATCTGGACAGCTTGGCAAGCCATTATTT